CTCGCCCAGTTGAAGACGCTGGCTGCGGACAGCCCGCCCCACAGCGTGTCGAGGTCCAGCCTGCGCTCGGCCTGCGCCACGAGCTGCCTCACTGGCGGCGAGCCCGAGGGGCTGGAAGCCCTGACCTCCGACGTCGCGCATTTGTCGTCAACGCAGGCGCTATCCGAGGCCTCCCAGATGGGGTCCGAGGATGGCGCCGCATCGCCGATGCATCGGCGACGCATCGGCGACGCATCGGCGACGCCAGCGGGCTCCACACCAAGCCGCATCGCCGATGCATCGGCGATGCGGCGCGATCATCCGACCCCATCTGCTCGGAACCCATCTGGGAGACCTAGAGATCTTTGTTTGCGACTATCTGAGGGCCAGTCTCGGTGCCCAGGACGGTCCAGAGACGACCCAAGAAGGAGGAAATACCCTATGGGAAGGCGTCGAGAGCTCTGGGGGGGGGGCGCGCCCCGCAAAAATCAAGACGCCAGAGGTCTGGGATTGAAGTGGCGGCCTTCTGAGGAGGCATGGGCGCCTCTCGGAAGGGCAGGGCCCCTGAACAGCAGTGCGCCCCACACCCCCTCGGCAGTCAAGACTGAGCGCAGGGGGCACCAGTGGAGAGGACACCAAGCCTCTTTCGAGGGCACCCCGTGCTCCAGACAGGACGAGGGCCTGCAACGCGAGGGACAGGACACGAGGGGCACCCCTCGACTGTACGCGCGGGCCTGCGAATCAAGCCGACCCCGGCCGCGAGGAGGCGCGGGGGGCTCCCGCCGATCGGCAGGCATCCCTTTCCTGCGCACCGCCGGCCTCGCCCGGGCACCGTCGGCCTCGCTGCTGCCCAGCGCGAGGTTCTGAAACAGGCGCCACCTGAGCGACGCGGAGACGCGAGTCGGAACGGGGCGAGCCTTTGTGGGCCCCGGAAACGGCAGGGCCGTTTTTTTCACCGTTTTCAAAAAAATGTCCCTTGAAAATGGAAACGGCAAAAAAAACGGCGACAGGAAACGGCAACAAAAACGGCTCCAGGACTGGAACCGGAGCCGGAACCGGTCAAAGAACGGCGACAGAACCGGTAAAAAAACGGCGTCGGAACCGGCAAGAAAACGCCAAAACGGAACCGGTAAAAAAAACGGCCCTGTCGTTTCCAGGGCCCACTAGCGAGCCGAGACGACGGCGGCGCCAAATCGATCCCCGGAGCCCTCCTAGGGTCCAGACGCACCAGTTTTCCGAGCTGCGACCAGCCGTGGCGACGAGGGGGCCTCCCCAAGGCCAACTACCGTCGATCGGGGGTGGAGAGACGACCCTTGAGCCCCGTTCGCGAACGCTGCCAGGGGCACTCGCGTGCGTACGGCACCGCTTTCCGAGCGCACCCCAGCGGGGTAGCCAATAGATGTCGAAGACAAGCGAATGCTTCCAGCGAGACGGACGTCCATTAGCGAAACCAACTTGGGACTGCACCGGCACACTCGAATGCCAATGTCGAGTGCACCCGTGCAAATTTCCTCGGTCGACTTGTCTTGGGGGGGCGTTCTCTCATTGCCCGACTCCTCTGAATCACGCCCAGAGGACGTTGCAGCCCGACGCGGCGGCCTGCGCAGGGCCTCCCGCGGGGCCTCCCGCGGGGCACCACCGCGCGGGAGCCGAGGGCGCTCACGCGCGGCCTTTGCGCTGGCTGCTCGAGCGCGGGGACATCGGCGCCCAGCGTCGTGGGAAACATCTCAGCGAGTCTCGAGGCCTCCCAGATTGGTCGGAGTAGGTGGGGTCAAAGGATCGCGCCGCATCGCAGACCGCCGATACATCGGCGATACATCGCCGATGCACCGGTGATGCATCGGCGATGTCGGCGACGCATCGGCGTGGAGAAAAACTTGCTCCAAATTGAGCTGCATCGCCGATGCATCAGCGATGCGGCGCAATCCTCCCACCCCATCCACTCGGACCCAATATATGGGAAGCCTAAAGACGCGCGCTTCCGCCCCGCTCTCGGACCCTCCGGGATCCTCTCGCGGATTGGCCCAGCTCTCGAAGTCAGCCACGAGGAGATTCCCCGAGATCCTGGCGCCGCATCTCCCCACAGCGGGCGATCGTGCCTCGCGTCCGGCCCCAGAACCATCACAGATCTATATGTCTCGGAAAACGCCCCAGAAAGACGGAGGAGGAGGAGGAGGAGGAGAAGGAGGAGGAGGAGGGGGAGGAGGAGGAGGAGGAGGAGGAGAGGAGGAGGACGGAGGAGGAGGGAGGAGGAGGAGGAGGAGGAGGAGGAGGAGGAGGAGGAGGGGGCCTCGGCTCCGACGGGATTCATAACGATGCTGTAGTCTGCACGCAACGTCGGATCTCAGGGGGGTCGAGAGCTCTGGTCTTCTGGTTACTCGACGGACCGTGCTGCTGGCAACGTCTGGAAGTCGGAGGCTCGCGGCGACCACCACCGCCAAGCCACCACAGGCCCACGCCTTGGCGTGCGGGAGAATCGGGGGCGGCCAAGAGGGGGGCGTCCAGGGGGGGGGGGGGGGGG